TATATGTGTGGCCTGTCCTCATCTGGCCTACACCTCATATCGCCCACACTACTATCAAAACAAATTTATGGATGACTGCACATCACACTTGTACCCTTAATGAACTCTTCCAACAAGATAACAAAGAATGTAAATGTTCATCATGGCGGATGCAGTAAAATTTCAAAGCTAAATCAGTACTTTAAAAGAAATTGGGAATAGCTTCAGCGCACCCGGCTACCCGCCAGGTCTGGGAGCAATACTGCAAAAAACGTGCAATGTCTGACTCTTTTCCCATGTTGAAGCATATTGAGAAAAGCTTACCTTGTACTTACTTACCTTTTGTAAAACATAAGACATTAATCCCCGTGTTATGAGTTTTCGGATGCTGAATAAACAAACAAGCCATCATCGGAGTATTTCTGTGTCATGCCACACCCCTCGTTATACTGCAAGTATTCGTGATAGAAAACGTATGATGTCCGGAAACTTAAGATCAGACAATAACAGTATTGTGTTATGAATAATAATAAAGGCATGTTTGATGCTGAAAGCTCTGATCGAAAACAGGACAATCCGCGACGGTTGTCCGGAAACACGATATTTTTCGGAGTATTTTCTTTTAAATCTTTGATTATATTTTTACGCGGAAGATGATTTTTCCAAGGACTACTGTTTTAAAAAACGCGATTTTCCGCGTTTCCGCGGATATTTCACATCATAACAATGTATACCGTCCAATTAAACCGTACAAACCTAATTCAACACTTTTAAGTAATAATGATTAGCTTTCATCTCTGTGCAATCCACTCTGTTGGCTAATCTGCTATGCGCGCAAGAGCATGTAACAAATCACATCGCGGCATCCCGTACAAACCAATCTGAGCTCAGTACAAATCGATTCAACACTTTCAAGTGATTATAATAAAGAAGTCACCGCCAATGCAATCACCTCCGACTGTTAATCCGCTCTGTATATTTGACAATAAAGTCTACCCACATACCAATTGCAGAACAGAACAGAACAGAAGTTGATTACTCATGAATCACGTATTGTGATATAGAGCATACAATATACATATTTATATTTACAGACGTGTATCAGTGTGCATAAACATAAAGTAATTACAAACATAGTATATACAGCAATTGAATTATTACTTAAAAAGTTGTAAACCATCCTTTAGGTATTTCGCCAGCTTTATAACAAGAGGTTTGTAGGAGCAAACCATAAGCTGGTTAAATTTTTCAATAGTTGGATACTTACAATAATAACTCGGGAGATATTTATTTCTTAATTCATGAAGTGATGGACATTGTAGAAGAAAGTGGAATTCGTCTCCAATATAACTGTTGCATAATGTACAGAACCTGTGATCTTTATTATCATTGAACCATCTTCCCTTTTTAATTGGTAATCTGTGATTAGATGTTCTAAATTTGACTATCCACTTCGCTAAGTTGTATGGTAATGATAATAAATATTCCTCAAGGCGAGGCTTATCTTTGAACATTGTATAGTATTTACCCTTGGAAGATAAAGTAGCAGATTCATTCCATTTTTGATAAAAGTTATCTAACAAGATGGCTTTGGCATTTGCCTTTAACCAAGTTAAACTGGGGAAGGACTGGGTGTCCCAAATCCAATTCAAACCAACCTTATAATATCTCTTACTGTTGTTAACCATACAAAATGTATATTATTTGTGGAATTAATATGAAAAAGAAGTCGATACATTCTACTGGACAATTTTTCAGAATTTAATATGATCTTTCCCCAAAATGCAATCATTCTGACTTTTATTTGAATTTCTAGAGGATACCTTCCAAGCTCACCGTAAACCATGTAGTCAGGCGTGGATTGCTTTAATCTTAGGATAAATGTGCAAAATTTTAAGGGAACACGTTCTATGATTGTTACACTCTCATATCCCCAAATTTCAGCTGCATATAGAAGAATCGGTTTTACTAACTGGTCGAAGAGTTTAAGTTGACAATCAATTGGAATATTGCAAGCACCGCGTCAGGAAAAGTACCAGACGCCTCAATCGCTTACCCGTCAATATCATTGCAAGGAGAGTAAGAACTCCCGCTAACAGTGAGGAGTATTAATTAAACATCCCAATAATGTTACACGCCACTATATCAGTTTTATTTGTAACTTGCTAATAATATTGATCGGAATTTTGCACATACAAAACAATTAAAAAACAATACACAGCAGTTACCCCCCTTTATCAACATTTACAAAGAAACACAGTGCTCAACTTAAAAGACTTCATTTTGCACATATACAATAGTTATACACGAATACATAACAACTATCTCCCTTTACTAATATATACAAAGAAAAACTATTTTGGATACATCATATATACAAAATTGTATATTTTTGTATATGTCATAAATACAAACTTGTATATTTAGTATATCTCATCATTCCAAACTTGTATATGCTTTGGATATACCATCTTTCCAAAGCATATACAAGCTCGTATATGTGGATTCTTTTTGCAGTGAACGCTTCGGATTTATACGAATACGTCTACACCAATATTTTAGACACCTGCTAAAGTAATTTATACATAGATTATAACGGCCATCTTTGCCCAAAACGGCACTTGAAGGTGCTTGTTTTCCCAGTTTCAAAAATCTTTTTAAAAATAAACTTTGTACTCTTTCTAAAGATCCTCTGTATGTATATCCCCACATGTCACTGCCATAATATGGAATGGGTGGTCATCCTTGTTTTGTAAGATACGGTTCAAGATCATTTTAAAATATTGAAAACAGTACTGGTGATATATTTTCGCCCTGTCTGACACCTGATTGACAAGGGAAATACTCCGATTCTGCATTATTTGATTGTATCATTGATTTAATATTACTGTACATATTTTCAACTAAAGTTTGAAATCGATCCTCAATTCCACTGTTTTGCATTTTAGACCACAATCCTGCTCTCAAGGCAGTTTCAAATGCCTTTGTAAAATCTATGCACGCACAATAAAACATTTTTTGATAGTTTCAAAATAAGCGAATGGATAACGAATATTTTATAAGCAGTTTGAAATTGTTTCCTAAATCCCGACTGTGCTGGAGTTAGGATATTATTAGCATCTAGAAATTTTGCAGTCGTTCGTTTAGGATACTGGTGAATAGTTTTCCGAAACAGCTTAATATCGTAATAGGTCTGTAGGAGTTTGGATCAAATGGATCGCCTAATTTTTTGAAGATAGGTTTTATGATTCCCGAGAGCCACGTTTCAGGTGAGAGTGCAAGATTGAAAAAATCCGAATATAGTGGGGCAAGTACTCCAATGCTATCTGTTACGAGTATATGATCATTCTCGACAAAATCTAGCCCGAAAGCCTTATTTCTTTTACTTTTCTTTGCAGCCTTATAATTTCTTCAGTCGTTATATCATCGTTTAAGATTTTACAATCATACGCCAGCGTTGCAGTTTCACATCTTTCTAATTCAGGACCCTAATTATAAAAATTATAAAAGGGATTTTTTTAGCAGGAGCTGGATTTGTTTCTTTCTTACATCCTGTTAGGATCTGCCAAAATTCTTAAGGCGAGTGGTGAAGGTTTTGGCGAACAGTCTTATCTAAATTGTCTTTATATTTACGTATATTCTTATCCATACATTTCTTGTAAGCCTTTGCTTCTTGATGATATGCCAATTTATTAAATACTGGTATCGAATTTTTAAGACGCCGTTTTGCTTTATCAAATTTCTTACGGGATGTCTTCATCAGTTTATTTATCTGTTCAGCATTTATAATCTTTATGTATATATCCGATTTATCAAGTTTGTAATGTTTAGGTTTGTTAGCGGCAATTGTATAGATGCATGGTAGGCCTTTACATGGATTACTGACAGGAGGTTTGTCTGTGCTAAATGTGAAGGTGAGTAGAGGGGTGAGTTGTCAATTATATTAAAATCAGAAAAGAGCGGAAGGCACATTTGCGATACAATAACATAGTCGATAACACTTTTATCTTGACATGTTGTTATATCATTTCCTAGCCTGCCATTACCAATAAACTGATTTGAATTACCGATTTCAATAAGTTTAAAGCCAAAGTGATTTATTCTTGTTTTGTCCTGTGTTGCTCTCACGCGTGGCAACCCAAGTTCATCGAGCACAGATTCAGGGTTAAGTTCTGGTCTAATTTCATCAATATCCAAATTAAATTCTTCAATTATGTTTTCGACAAGAATTTCGTACTCGCATAGATTATTTGTCCGGGCATTAAAGTTCCCAATTAAAATGACATACTCATTTTTTGACATAATATTAATTATCGATTGCTCAATTTCATAAAACATATCGTTTGTAATATACTTTGATCCTTCGGGTAGGATATAAACAGTCCCCAAGTACAGATCCTGATGAAAACTAAAAAGTGTTTTACATACTTTAGTCCAAAGAATGTAATCGCAGTTTTCTTCAGTTACGGATATAAAATCTCTATATTTACTTTTATATGCTACACCTATACCTCCTCATCGCCCTACAGTACCCAACCTATTCTGAAGAAAAAGTGTATATCCGGGTATATATTCGGTCGAACCTACTGTTTTGTTTATGTCAAACAGGGTCATAACGGTTAATACTGCAAAAAACCCTTCATAAAATGTTAACTCGACGACGAGCATATTTATGTTCTTGATGCCTATGCAACTAAAACGCTGACTTTGTGTGCTGGCGATTAGGTGCCTCACTCTGGCAAGTGTGGGTTTGTATCCCGGACGGGACTCAACCCCCCAAAAGTACTAGAATCTGTACTTTACTAAGAAAGTGTTATCCCAAATATAACATTTGTTACATTTGACCACTTTCTAAATGGCATTGTGTATTCATATGTATGTAAATTTGGTATAATGTATAATACATAGTTTTTCGTATATCCATTGGGAACGACTTAGGAACTTAAGCTTGTATCTGTTTGTCTGTATGTCTGTCTGTCTGCCTGTCTGCCTGCTAATCCGTGATGTATCTGATCTTTCAGTGCCATCGGCAGTGGATCATAAGTTTCTTCTTGTAATAACAGCATGTTGAATTGGTGCGGCTATCCTCTGTGGAAGATCTTACTCTTGAGCTCTGTGTCTGTAGTCATGATGAACGTGTACCTCGCATTGCGCGTTATCAAGCTCACTCAGAATGAAGGTAGATTGTTAACTGTTCTACAAGCTTCGCAGCAGTCATACAGATTGAGGATGTCTGAAACAGATCAGAGTCTTGACTTGTCGCCACCGCCAGGAGCTTCACCACACAAAACATCAGCTAGCACAGGCAACTCTAGTTTTGCAAATGACGGCATCATCAATCTATGTCCTGAGATGCCACCAAACTTAGGTGAGTGATTTGGTACATTTTTGGCCATGTTAAACGGTATGTTACGGCGGAGTACAACGCAATGTGACGATGCCATCTCCACAGATTGATACCTGAAGGATCAGATATTAGGGGGGAAACATTTGAGATGACTTCCCTTTTCACTCATAACACGCAATAAAATTGGATAGAGTTGCTCAGGTCATAGTTAAAGACTTAGTTGTGTACATACGTAGAAGACTGATCAGTCTGTAGTGATTTAGTGAGTGAGTGATGGTATGAGTGAGAGTGAGCGAGCGAGCGAGTGTTGTTTTACGTCGCTTTTAGCATTAGAGATCTAGATCTGGAGTTTGCAAGAAATCTGTGACCGTGGGTTCGGAGGCCAGACTAGCCCTGATTATGTCTCTAGGTTTGTCAGTATCATACCCACCTCAATGTACTCACTCAATACATTTATGTGAGTGCAATTACTTCGCCTTTGAGGATACTAAACTTGAACAATTACACATAGAATGATATTTCCGGGTGTCTCAGTTGGTGCGTTGGTTGTGAATATGGAACCAGTACCATTCCAGGACATCGAAAGGCAGCATCCACAAATCAAGCCTGGAGGTAGATTTCAACCTCCGAATTGTAAGTCCCGGCACCACGTGGCCATCATCGTGCCTTACCGCGACCGAGAGTCCCACTTGAAGGTCCTCCTGAACAACCTGCACCCCATGCTGGAACGACAGCAACTGGACTACACCATCTATGTGGTAGAAATGGTAAGTTTGGGACTAAGCATTTGTACACTGGTGTGGGGAGGGAGGACCTTTTTGGTCAGACCCGAAATATCTTTTTGGTCGGTTTTCTGGTCTCCGAAAAGAGGTGCTCAACAATTGTCTTTCAGTACATGACATTCATCTTGACACGACATGTACTACTGTTGACAGGGTGCCCGTGAAGATCCGGGGTAGAATAGGTCTTCAGCAACCCATGCTTGCCGTAATAGGCGACTATGCTTGTCGTAAAAGGCGACTAACGGGATCGGGTGGTCAGGCTCGCTGACTTGGTTGATGCATGTCATCGATCCCAATTGCGTGGATCGATGCTCATGTTATCAATCACTGGATTGTCTGGTACAGACTCGATTATTTACAGACCGCCGTCATATAGCTGGAATATTGCTGAGTGCGGCGTTAAACAAACAAACAAACCATGTGTAATTTTAGATGAAGGTTATTCAGTGAGTGCGTAAATAACTCGTGTCGCGCGACGGTTTCCATGTTGTCCAATAGTGGGTCTTATTTTGACCCTGGAGTTTTATTTTACCCATAGTCAGATTTAACCCCTGTAGTAAATACTTTTGCATGTTTACATGGCAAATCGAAAAAGTGATATCCGAGCCTAGGATTTTTGCTTGCGAGAAAAAAGAGGACACATAACAGACTTTTTTAGCACGACATCTAGCTTTTATTTTTTTTGGTAATACCTGTGGATTACCTCTTGCATGTTGATCCTAGTTTTACTGATTAATTATGCCAGAAATATATTCTTCTGCAAAATTACATTTCAGTTGGGTTTAACGCTGCTTTGAACAGCATTCCAGTTATATCATGGGGTGTCAGCTTGATGTGGGAGGAAAACCCTAAGTTATGCAGGTCTTAGACGTTTCGACAAACCTAGAAACATAACTGGGGTGAACCAGGATTCGGACCCACGATCTTATCTTTCTGGCGTGCTCAGGGGACGCAACTCTGCACAGACAAGTGTGGCTCCTTAGACGACTTATTATTCGTGATTAGACTCCAGCACGAGCACCATTGATGAGATGGTCAGACTCAGTGACTTCAAGCGTCATCGTACCCAGGCGTTGTTCACAATATCAACCACTAGTTTGTCTGGTCAAGACTTAGCTAGTCACAGGCCGCCGTGATTTAGAGGAATATTGTTGTGGTGTAAATGTCTTCCACGTGTCACCATAAAACATTTTGAAAGCTTCATTTAGGCTTTGTTCCCCGGCCGCGTCATACCAAAAGACGTTAAAAAATGGTACTTGTTGTTACCCTGTCTGGCGCTCGGCATTAAGGGGCTAAAACAAGGACTGGTCGGCTCGGAGTCAGTATACTGTGTCTGAGGGGATATTCATGTTAAACTGCGGCATGGTATCTCAGTGAGCTAGCACTATAAATCGGCATCAGTCCGGACTAGTACAAGCAGCCACTCAAACACACACACACACACACGTACATGCATGTCGCTATATAAGTGCAATAATCTTGGACGCGACGTTAAACCCCATTTCACCTCACCTCATTTAGGCTTTGAATGTTGTAATCATATTTTAAACAGGAGTCGAGTAATGTTCTTTGAAATCTTCCCAGAAAGAGCTTCATCGATTGCACCTCGGAAGTTGTGAAATGTAGACACCAAAGGCTGAAGCCGCTGGAATATTGCTCATCAGGAAGGAAAATTTGACTACTGGAAAGTTGAAGGCATCCCTCTTTTCATACAGTCTTTTGGAGAGTGTTTTGTCACTCTGAATCTTTATTCATAGCTGTAAATATGAAACAGATGAGGCGGTATCACTGGTCTCCTTTATTTCTAGTTCAGGTGTCGTCACGAAATGGCTGAAATTTTGCCGATGTGACGTAAAGCACTCACTCACTCACTCACTCACTCACTCACTCACTCACTCACTCTAGTTCAGGTTGGTAACTCGGTGGAAAGGAATTGGCTATTTGATGGTTATAGCAAGATATCAGTTCATCGTTATACCTGAAACCCAAGTTAAAGTTCTTGACTAAATTCCCTGGTAACGTTGCCATTCCGAGCACAAATTCTGATCCATATGCCTCAAGAAACAGTTCACCAAAAAGGGGAGCGCAATCGTTGCCCATGAGGATGCCTTCTTTCTTGCCTAAATGTCTTACCCCCATATTTTACATAAATGTTATCGATGTTATCCAGCATTTCACATATTGCTTTCTCACTAAACTTCAGATGGCATTTGCTTTCATTTTTTTTTACAAACTGAACTGAACGTTTGGAGAAAGACATGTAACTATATCTAGGGTCACCACGTTTTGTAACAAAAGCTACACGGATCTTAAGTTTGTCATGTGGGATACTGGTGTACACAGTTGGAAAATCAAATGTTTTGACTGAATTGAACCTGGTACTTTTCTGGGATTGTAAAAGGTCAAGCAGCTTCTTTGGGGTTTTGAGAATCCACATGGTATTAATTGGTTGAAGGCTGCTCGCGATATTTTGACCATATTTGAATAAAAGACGAAGGTTGTTATTGTCAAGAATAGAGAAGTCAGCTGTGATTATGCGAACAGGTTGGTAAAGTGTGGCGTGTCTTGCCACAAGTAGTGCCAGTGAGCTGCCAAGTCTACGTTCTGCAACAATAATTGAACAGCTTGCTTGAAGTGGTGGTCACGATGGAAAATGGATCTGTTGGTGGTTCCTGAAATTTGAAATGTTGTGGGACATTTGGGTAAACTCATTGTTTGATTGCAAATTTCAAATATAAGAACATGTCGCGTTTTTCTGATTTAGTGGAGTCACCTAAATACAACTAGGCACACGTTAAACTTAGCTCTTTAATACAGTGTCATGTCAGGCTGGTCAGTTTATGGATTACAGAGTTTGCTTAAAATGACGAGAGAAATTTGAAAAAAAGACAAACGCTGAGGATTTAAAGTGAGGTGTCGATTCATTTTGAAGCCTTAAGAAGTCTGCTGGGAGGCCTGTGCAGATATCATGACGTCATAATAGTATGTGACGTCATTTTCTTTCTGCCAGGTAGTGTAAAATCCAGACTATTATGTACAGATTAAATTTAAAAAATCAGCAAAGAGGGTTTTGGTGATCCTGGCACAGTCAGGCTGGTTAGGCTTATCATCACCTCAGGGCCCTTGCCCCCTCTACACGCAGCCCAGACAGCGAATGGGACTTCTCCGAGGAAGCGCTGCCTTGTCGACACCACCCACGACTTTTCGGAGAATGCGAAGACTCCCCAACTCTGCACCCTTCTGCATTACACAGAATATCAGAAGGGCTGTATCCCTGGCAACAAACCCGGATCTCCCAATGTCAGTCAACAGATTGGGAGGTACCAAACCTAAGGCACGTAATTGGGATGCAAGAGTGACATTTCGAAAGCGAGGTCAGCATATTTGCCACGTTTTTCCTCAATGTTGTTAATCACATTAGTGTCTAAAGGGACAGAAAATTTAAGGCTGTACACGGGCCTATTTCAAAGAATTTTGTATTTATAATTTTCCATGACGCCCTCTAGATATTCCGGGTCGTACCATGGATGGACCTCTGTGTCAAAACCACAAGCATGGCGAAGACGGTCATAGTGGGCGGATGCAGTGGCCGTTCAGATAGCCTCTCCTTTAAAAACTGAGTCAGGGCCGACTTGATATGGCCCTTCGCTTGGTTGACACTCATTTCTGTACCGTACAGCAATACAGAACCATCAACGAAATCTACACCGACATTGAGATTATGTCCCACATCCTTGGCTCGTTTTAGAAAACTGTGGAATGCCTTGTTTTCATCATGAGTCTTCACATGCTTCACAAGAGGATCATCATACAAATAAATGTTTGCAAAAGTGCACAAAACAATTCCATCATGAAGAGCCTCCACATTAATCAAACGACGCCCCCCCATCAT